TCGGGCCGCGGGGCGCGCGCTCCGGAGCGCCCCCTGCAGGCGGTGCCCGAGGCTGGCGCAGGAGGAGGAGTCAGGCAGGGGCAGGGCGCGTGCGGCCCGGGACATCTGACTTCCTCCCGGGCGGCCCGGAGACGCTGACATCGCAGGCCGGCGGGCAGGGCGGCGATGGGGACGCCCTGGCGAGTGAGTCAGGTTAAGATTTGGAGGTGGAGAGCAGGACCTGGGTTTGTTTTGTTTTTCCAGACAGGGTTTGTCTCCGTAGTTCTGACTGTCCTAGAGACCACACCGGCCTGGCACCTAGAGCTGCCTGCCTTCTGAAAGGATGAAATGCAGCCCAACTCTCTAATGACCACTCAAAGTTAGAAATTTAAAAATATCCACCAGCATGTATTTAAAAATCACCCTAGCTGCATGCAAAGCTCAGGAAAAAGAAAACACATGAAATAGCTTGCTCACGGTGACCGGTTTCTGGAAATTATTATTATTATTCATAACCACCCAGTTTCTGGGGAATGTTGTTATCCACAATAACAGTCTGGGAATTGTTATGGGTCATCCTGTCCACGAAGACAATTAATAACTAAAAGATATGGGATCATATGGGATCATGGTAAGAAGGGAAAGCCAGAAAGAACAAGTGCCTCTGCCAATAGATACAGATAGCTCCCTGACTGGAGACGACATTCTCCCTGCTCCCCATTATCTTAAGGACAAGGCCACTGAGCCCGCTGGTCCAAGAGAAAGAAAAACCCCTAACCTTGCAGGTGCGCTAAATAATCCCGCCTTGTAAAAACTGTGTCCTCTATGAAATCTCTGTACCCTTGGAAACCTTATTAACCATCCAAGTTTGGAACTGTCCCATGACCTTGCTTTTAGGCCTAGTGAGAATAACAGGCTAGCGTTGAAACTGGCCTTGTTAGCTTTGATGTAAGTCCTATAAAAGCTGTCTCAATTCTGCCCTCCAGGTCCTCAGCCCTCTACCCATGCCTGGGGTGTGACTGTGGACCCCAGTGCACTTGGGATAAAAACTCCTCATGCTATTTGCATGGAGACCGCTCCTCGTGAGTAATTTGGGTGTCGCCTTTGCTAAGTGGAAGTGTGAAGGTCCTCGCTCTGCGGGTCTTTCAGTTCCTGCCAGGGAGTAGGTTAGAACGGTGGGAAAAGTTGGGTTCCTAACAGAATAGCTCTGAAGATACAAACCATTACTTTGATAATCTTATTACTGGATTACAGGAGTTTTGAGTGCAAAGTCCTGATTGCTCTGGGGATAAGCTTTATAATGTGGATTAATGATTTTTTCAGTACAGAGTCCTAAACACCCTCAGAAGTCCCCACCAGACTCCACGTTTTACTCTCTCACATTTGGGAACTAGATTTCAACATGAACTTTACAGGCGTGGAAACCAGATCAATATTAAGTAATGATTCCAAAGTTTCTGGCCTAAATGACTCTTACACTAAACAAGTACAGACTATCGGAGGCTAAGAGTACTTTCCCCTTCCTGTTAAAAATCAGATCAGGGGTTTGATGCCCAATGTCCACATTGCTTTTCACAAAGATCTGTAACTCTAGTTGCTTTGGATTCAATACTTTCTCCTGGCTGCCACAGGTACTAGGCAAGAATGTAGGTACACAAACATACATGCAGGCAAATACTCAGGTAAAAACAGTTTTGAAACAGATACTTAAAAATAAAAAAACAGGGAGCATCAGTTTCTTCCCAATTATGAGAACTTATGTGTTGTTTGGTGACTGTAGAAAGTTCAGAACACGTACAAGATATTTTAAGAGTACAATAAAAATCAGCTAATCTCGGTTCTCAAGATTTTGTTGTTTCCTACACTTGTTTTCTGTTCATGCTTTTACATGACAACATCCTGATCACAGTGTACCATATCCTTTTTCAATTGGATGCTAGCATGAAAGAAACGACTGTATTAGGACATTCTTTACAACAGCCATCTTTTTCTGTACCAGAAACCCTCAGACACAATTCTAGAAAACCAGAGATAACGTCCTATTATGTTTAAGTTTTGTGTGTTCTTTAGGTTTACATGTACTTGACATCTTGGCTCAGGAGTAGGTCTTCATAAAGCTGAATAGTTTGTACAAGACAAAAGTAGGCATGGTAACTGCAGATGGGATGTTGGTACGTCTCCCAGGCTGTTAGATCCAAGGCGTTCTGCCCATTGCTTTCACTGAGGGCTTCTTGAACCAGGAAGACTGCCAGCAGGACTGTTTTTTCTCTGTGAATGATCTTTTTATACTTTTAAAGATAAAGTGAACATGTTCACTACTATTCTTAAGCGTAGTGATTATTTATTTGAAGGGCCTCAACTAGTCGTCTTACTAATCTTCTACCCCAAGCCTTTTTGACTTCCTCATGTACCTTATCAAAGCTCCAGCCGAAAGAGTTTCTCACCATTTATCTGCTCACTCCTTGTCCAACTCTCATACCAACCAGTGAGAGGTTACCCATGTTCAGGTCAGCTGTGTCTGTGGGTGTCTGCAGCCTGGTCATGACCCCCTTTTTTTATCACTCCTCTCTGCACCTGGATTCCAGTTCAGCTCAGTGTTTAGCTGTGGGTGTCTGCTTCTGTTTCCATCAGCTGCTAGATGAGGGCTCTAGGATAGCATATAATGTAGTCATCAATCTCTTTATCAAGGAAAGTTAGCCTCTCCACTGTTGCTCAGATGGTTAGTTGGGGTCATCCCTGTAGGTCTCTGGACATTTCTCTAGAGTCAGTTTTCTCTTCAAACCTATGATGGCTCCCTCTATTATGGTCTCTCTTTTTTTGCTCTTGTCTATTTGTCCCCCGACTCAATCTTCCTGATCCTAAATGTTCTCCTCTCCTCCCCTTCTCTTTCCCCTAACCCCCTCTCCACTCACTGCCCCTCCCCACTCCCAGTATGCTCAGGAGATCTTGTTCCTTTCCCCTTCTGTGAGGGACCTTGTATGATTCTCTTAGCTTCCTCTTGTATCCTAGTCTCTCTGGCTGTGTGGATTGTAGGCTGGCGATCCTTTGCGCTATGTCTAAAACCCATATGAGTGAGTACATGCCATGCTCCATTCCTCTTTTTGTGTCTCGGTTACCTCATTCAGGATGGTTTCTTCAAGTTCTACATATTTGCCTTGGCCCCTCTTTTCAGTATCTTTTCTTTATAAGCAACATTTAATTACTTTAAGATTTTTATCTTATACATTCATACATTCATCTACATATGTATGTGCACATTTGTGGGTGCCCGGGGAGATAGAGTTACAAGTGTATATGAGCCACCCGATATCGGTGCTGGGAACCAAACTCAGGAGCTCTGCACGAACAGCAAGTGCCCATAGCTGCTCAGCTGTGTCTCCAGCTTTTACAAAACCTCCACAGTTAGGCTGAACATAGGCTGAGCTGAAGAAACAAGCTTGTGACCAAACTGCTAATGTTGGAACCAGTAGGGTTAGGAGTTCCAGGCCAGCCTGGCACCTAGAATGAGAAGGATTAAAATGACACAGTTGCCACATTTTGTTAGTTTTTCCTGTGGTTTTGCTTAATGCTATTATTGCTTTGGCAGATCAACACCACAGCGCTGATTTCCTTTTGTTTGAAGGGGGCTGTTATGTTGAAAATTGAGCTTGGCCTTGTACGTGCTTGGCAAGTGCTTGATCACTAAGCCAATTTCCCTGCCAACATGATGGCGTCTAATGGCTGGACTGCTGTTGTCAACCTCTCGAGGTGATGAAAGGACATCTTATTTCTCGTCCTCAGGCTTGTAATTAGTTCCTTGAGAAATGGATCCTACAGATAGACAGGATGAACAGAGCTTAGCAGATTGACCACCAAAGAGTCAGCAAGATGTCAGTGCTGGAGCTCTTGAGCAGAGTGTGTGCTTAGCCTTTGTAAAGCCCTAAATGCAGTCTCCACTAAACACAGTGGTGGTGGAAACTGTCTGTAAATCTCGTTTTTGTAATTGTAGCGTGTGGGTCATACCTAGGACAACATTCACAGTAGGCTAGCGTTCACACTGAGTATGCCCTATGCATCTTTTACATCTTGTTCAGCTGAGATAGTAGGTAGTGAGCCTCCACAGCTGCTGAGAATTATTTAACAATCATGTGCTTTCTGTCAATTCCATGTTGGAAAATACATCTTCAAGTAAAGCGTGTTACTTGAGTATTATAAATTACTTCTTAATTTTTGTGGCCAGGTTTTGTTAAAGTTTAAATAAAGCAGGACAGGGATTTAGGAAGGATGTGGTATGACGGCCTTAGGAATGCTGTAGGTAATCTGGGATCCATCGTCTCCTGACATCCTGTACCTAGGTGTCTGCGGCTCTTGACCACCCACAGAAGCTGCCTATCTTGCCGGACAGGGCACCGTGCACTTCCCTGGCTTTTCCCTAGGAACTGGAAACTAGAAACAGTGTGGTGCGGTTAGGAACACCCTTTACGAACATGCCAAGGATGATTTACTTTAGCAATTCTATACTTTATGGAATTAGTCAGCTCTAACCATCAGCTTGACAGTAGCCGTCAGAGTCCTCTGAGTAGGGAGGCTCAACTGAGGAATTATGCAGATAATACTGGTCTACAGACTGATCTGTGATGAATTGCCTTGACTCTTATTGTGATGTCCAAGGGCCTAGCCCAGTTAGGGCAACACCATTCCCTGGGCAGATGGTCCTGCATTGTAATAAAAAGCTAATTAAGCAGAAGCCAGTGACGGAGTCAGCGAGCATCATTCCTGTGTGGTTTCTGTCTTTGAGTTGATGGAAGTGTAAGCCAAATAAATCCTTTCCGTCCCTAAGTCACTTCTGCTCAGAATGTTTCATCACAGCAACAGAAATGAAGTCAGGACAGAAACAGGAAGTAGAATGCAAGGGTTTTACATTCATACAGCTGAATGTATTTTCACATGCAATTCTAGGACCTGGGGAGTAGAGGCAGGAGGATGGAGGAACAGAGCAAGCCTAGGCTGGCCAGACCATCAGACGAGAGAGATGGGAGACACAGGGTCGGGAAGATGGATATAATCTGTTGGTCCTTTGCTTTTGTCCAGGAGTGTCCTCCTTGTCTATGAAATGCAGCTATCAAGGCAGTTGGACCTGTTTCCTGAATGCACAGTGACCCTTCTGTTATTTAAAGGTGTGAAAAATGCAGGGGACCTGAAAAGAAAAGCCATGGAAGGATCGATCACCGGCTCATTGATAAACCCTAATGTGGTAAATACAAACTGGGAGAATGAATTAGCCGTGCCAGACATTCAAGAATATGCTACTTTTACCCTGAAATTCTCTTATATCCAGGTGAAAAGTGTTTGTTGAAAACACACTTGGTGTCAGAAGGGCTGTGGCCTAGCTGTGACCACGTGCGTTTTTGTAGATGTCTGAGTTTCTTGCTTCTTACGTGTGAAGTGTGTGAGGCTGCAGAAGTCATAGTGTCTTTTGCTGTGAGGAGACGCCATCACTAAGGTGGCTCATAAAAAAGTATCTAACAGGGGGAGGCTTACAGTTTCAGAGGGTTAGTCTGTGACTATCATGGCAGGGGGGGAGGCAGGAGGCAGGCAGCAGGCATGGCCTGGGGCGGAAGCTAAGGGCTTACATCTTGTTCACAAGATAGATACATAGAATGCAACTGGACCTAGTGTGGACTTTGAGGTTTCAAAATCCCATCCCCCGTAACACCTTCACCCCAGTGACCCCAGTGAAACCTCAAAGCTCACCCAGTGACACACCTCTCCAACAAGGTCATGCCTCCTGTGACGGCTACTTGTGGTTGTCTACTGACTACATCCAGAATGCACTAAACCCCAAAAATGACTGGGCATACCTTTGAAGGACTTTCTGCTTAATTGGATTATTTGAAGTTAGAAGATATGCTTCTAACCCAGATCTTTAAGGTAGGAAGTCACACCTTTAATCTGGGACTCCCCTTCTGCTTGGAAGCATATATAAAGGACATGGAAAATGGAACTTGCTCAACTATGGGCTCCTGTACAATAGAAAAATAAATCACAATCAAATCAAAGGCAAAGCAAACTCCAGCTGTGTAAAGAACTCACTGTCCAATGTCTGGGACCCACTCACGGTGTTCTGGACTCCCGCAAAGGGCTGGGGTCACTTCTGCAGATCCGCCCTCTGCAGCACACACAGCTGTCTTCAGGCTCTGACAGGGTCCACACTCCACCGCTGCCGCTGTTCTCAGTGGTCATACCATGGTCCTGCATCTCCAGAACGCTGGAGTCTTCTGCAGCTGGGCCACACTGTCACCGGTGCCCTCTCCTGGCCTGTCACAGTACCCAGCCTCAGCTGCTCTCCATGACCCTTGATGCCTTCAAAACCAGCACCACCTGAGTGACTCTTTACACTACCAAGCTTGGCCGCCAGCACAAGGAACAACCTTGACTACATCTGGAACACAGTCTGTGTGCTCTCAGGGAACGCCTCCCAGGACTAAAGGTTTCTTTTCAATAGTGATGGCCCCTTGTTAATCATGGCTGACTTCAGTCCCAGCTTACCAGATACCATAGATTTTTCAAACAAAAGACCACAGCACAGAGTCTTTGCTTCCCTGTGAAACCTCAGAAGCCTCAACATTTTTATCTTCCAAGCTCCCACAAACAGTGCCCTGAGGTCTCAATACCCCGGGGGCTTTTGTAGCCCAAAGTTACAAGGTCTTTCCACAGGCCTCCCCAAAACACATGGTCAGGCCTGTGTTAGCCTAACTCCACTATCCTGGTACCAACTCCTTTCTTAGTCAGGGTTACAATTGCTGTGATGAAACACCATGACGAAACCAAGTCGGGAAGGAAAGGGTTTATTCAGCTTATGCTTCCAGATCACTCTTCATTATCAGAGGGACTCAGGACTGTAACTCAGACAGTCAGGATCCTGGAGGCAGAAGCTTACACACAAGCCTAGGAGGATTAATACTTAATCACTTGCCCTTCTGGCTTGCTCAGCCTGCTTTCTTATGCAACCCAGGAGCTCTTGCCCAGGGGTGGCCACACCCACACTAGGCTGGGCCCTCTCATACCAGTCACCAATTAAGAAAATGTCTACCTATAGCCTGATCTTACTGACACATTTTCTAAATTGAGGTTTCTATTGCTACTAGCTGAAGAACTCACAGCCATCTCTGTATGATGTGATCTTCTGTTGTATGCATTCTGAGTCTCCTAACATTCTACTGTCCTGCACGGGGAGGACTGTGCATAGTTTCCCTGATAGGTTAGACAGTTAGCAGCTTGCCTGATTCCCCACCTGGTAAGCAGTGGGGCTGTGATTGGACACCACCACCACCCCGCCCTCAGCATCTCGGTTGCCTGGTTGTTACATGAGCAACCTGACTTCATTGAGTCTGTGGGATTAAAGAGAACAGCGTTGTTGTGTGGGATATGGCCTGTTCTGTATTAGCCTGCAAGGGCCCTGCAGCTCTAAAGTTCTGTCACATTGCGTGTTTCAACAGCCATTAAGGCCGGTTTTAAAATTCTGCCCATAGGAATGGTGAGCAAATATACAGCTGGAATAGAGTTAAGTCAGGAGGGCATGTGGTTGAGGAAGCTCCTGATTCTGTGCTAATCTGTTTTCTCTCTGGTAGATCGTCGATCCATTTCAGATACTTGTGGCAGCAAACAAAGCTATTCATCTCCACAAACTGGGAAAAATGAAGACGAGGACTCTGTCTACTGAAATTATCTTCAACCTCTCCCCAAATAATAATGTAATGTGGTGGCTGACTTTATTTCTGTTAGGCTTCTCATTGTAAAATGTGCCCACCCCACCCCCCCATTTAGCACTGGGGCCCAGGTTCCTCCAAGCCAGCTGTTAGTACTAAGCCAAAGTAGTTATGTAGAGAGGTCTAGCAGAGCCATTTAGTGCTGCTAGCAGCTGTGGAGTCAGTCTCCTAGTCAGTCAAGGTTTAAACCCCTGAGCAGTTTTGCTTAAGAGACTGGCAGAAATCCCCACATGATAAAACATGAGGTCTAGATGACTAAGACAAAAGTTAAGCTGCCCTAAGATAAATGACTGTAGGGATACAAATTATGGTCTGGAAGGTCACTTGGAGATAGAGGCAGGGCGGTAATGTGCAAAGCCAAGCAGTCTGGGCTTGATCCAGAGGAGCAAAGTGCGACTGCAGGCAGGGACTGTGGGTGCTGGGCAGGGACTGAGAGCTGAGGGCAAATACGCTGTGAGGGACAGGGAGGCCAACTGAGCAGGCCAGGAGAGTTCCAGAGTGAAGATGCTGACTGTTGGCTTTTGGTGTTTGTCATAGATTTCAGAGGCTTTGAAGAAATTTGGTATCTCAGAGTGTGATACTTCAGTTCTGATAGTTTACGTTGAGGAGGAAGAAAAACAAACACACCTTGAACACCTAACATCTCAAGTGGACGGCCAGCAGGTGCCTCTGGAATGTCTTCCAGAAGTAACAAAGCTCTCAGAAGTCAAAAAGGTTTGTAACACACTTTCAGGAGTTCAGTGGAGGGCTGGGCCGTGGTAGCACATGCTTTTAATCCCAGCACTCAGGAGGCAGAGGCAGGGGGTCTCTGTGAGTTCGAGACTAGCCTGGTCTAAGAGCAAGTTCGAGGACAGGCTCCAAAGCCACAGAGAAACCCTGTCTGGAAAAACCAAAAAACAAAAAAGAAAAGAAAAAAAGAAAAGAAAGGTTCAGTAGATGAGTTATGCTAATGCTGTTTGTCCATCACTTTTACTCATATCTGCCTTCTCTCTTGTCTCCAATGCCTTTTGAGCTTTGAAGAAATAGTGTGGGGGTCGGTAGTGGACATAGCAGTTAAGAACCTGGGTCTCGTTCCTAGCACATTCATAACCATCTGTAACTCCAGTTCCACGGGATCTGATGCCCACTTCTGGCCTTCATGGGAACTGCACACACCTAGTACACACATATAGAGGCAAAACACCCTTACAAGAAAATAAAGAGAGGTTTAGACATGTTAGAATAATTATACAGACACTTCATGAGTGAAAAGAACTGGGACTTACACGTTTGTGGATGTCATTCAGAAAGGAGTCAATGGGAACGGTAAGAAAAGGGATCTCTTTCGATATTCAGTGAGTGTATGAAGTTTATACCTAGGTGTGGACTCTTAAAATTGATACAAATGTGATTTGTATGTTCAGGAAATTTGTTTTTTATATTAATAACTACACTTAAAAAGGACATTATCCATGTATGTTAAATTACCACCTACTTGAAAACTTTAAACATTTGTGATTTCAAATCATTAATGCCATAATAAAGGGTAATGCCACATGTTAATGGAAATGTAATAACAGTGTGTGGACATGTCAGCACTCATAGATTGTCATTCACTTTTACAGATATATAAACTGTCATCACAAGAAGAGAGTATTGGGACATTATTGGATGCTATCATTTGTAGGATGTCAACAAAGGATGTTCTATAAGATCCTCAAAACATCAACAGAAAATTTCAGAGTCAATCACCAGCTGGGTTGTTTTTTTCTTTTCTTTTTTTCCTGGTTCTAAAATTAACATATCATTGAAAAGGGGAGAAATAAACCACTACTATCCCTACATTGTTTCACTTCCTAAAGATAGCCCCTGTCACTGTTTTAGTGGTTGACTTCTGGTCTCTGTTTGCATTTCAATACATTTTATTTGTGTACAAGTGTAATACATATAACACAGAGTGCAAGCACCTAATGAAGACTGCAGTGTGCAGGGCTCTTCCATTAACTTACCCACCCCTCTGCACCTCACCTGATGCTGCTGGCTTCTCCACACAGCCCTGGTAAGCTTCTGATACTCACTATTTCCTTAACCCTAAACCTGGTACGCTGACTCACTCCTGCAGCCCAGGCACTCAGGAGGCTGAGGAAGGCGAAAATATGCCACAAGTTCCACATCAGCCTGGAGTGCCAGGCCAAATCCCGTCTCAATGGCTGAATAATAAACCATTTACTTCTCAAATCCCTTGTGCCCACTTTACACCCAAGGCCAGTTTTAAAAAGAGTGTAGTAACACTAACTATCCCAGGGTCAGGTAGTTAGTACAAAACCTCATTTCACGGTTTCATTTTTCCCTCATTTTATCTTGTATTTCAATCCTATTGGTAATATAGGTATGGTCTAGGGTCAGCAAAGGTCTGTGAAGAGCCAGATGAGTGCTTTTCCTCTCTAAGGCCGTCTGGTTCCTGCTGCAGTCACAGAGAACATGTACATAGTGAATGGCCTCCATCCAGTAAACCGTGACCTGAACAAATGGTGTGCAGCACGCTAATGAGGCTGGCCTGTGGCCCGGTTAGTTAGGCCACAGTGACAGCCAGTCCCTAAAGCTCACTGGCTCACTACAGCAGAGGCAGCTGTGACCTTCATGACAGTGTGGGTCAGAGGGAAAACTCAAGCACTGCTTTTGGAGCCCTGTCTGAGCCTCTCAGCTGGGCTTCTAGGTTACTGCACGGCTGGACAGCTCTGGGGATGGCACAGTAGCTAAACAGCATACACATGGGAGTGACCGGTACTGTTCCCTCATTTCATTCAAACAACTTCAAAAACGGTGGCTCTGTGTTCTTGCCACATGCAGGCTCCACCCCATTGTCCCCGTCTAGAGCCGTGGTGTAAAGCCATGGGCCCTCTCACAGTGCAGTTCTCTAGGTATCCCCAGTTCAGAATGGCCTTCTGAGTCACACCTGAGTGCCCTGGGGGCAGAGGGTCATGCAGCACAAGTGGCACTTGCCCCAGATTGTCCCAAGTAAAGAAGTCTTGATGCCTCTTCCAACTGTTACAGAGGGATGCGGCATGGTCTCAGCATCCCTGCTGTCAAGAGGGACCACACTCAGTGTGCAGCTGAACTTGAGCTCAGGGGAGTGCAGACCCCTGGGGTGGAGACTGCTGGGCTTTGGGTGATGGAGATCTTCCCCATCACCCAAGGAGGCTGGCCTAGGGTAGGATGGACAGAAATCCTACTGTGGTGACCATCAGGCCAGGATCAAGGAGCCCCCATGTAGCAAGAGAGGCGTATAGTTCCAGGAATGAAGTCACCTATATAGCACGGGGTGTCTGTAGTTGAAATTGGTCCATGACAAGGTTTGTCAGCAGGCCAAGGCAGGGTTTAGCTTGGCTGAGCCCTCTGGAATTAAATTGTCTGAGGTAATGCCATGAAGAAACAAGACCATCAATATTGCACAAGAGCCAGGGATTACTGGCTCAGGGGTCTCTAGCCTAGGTTGGGAGACAAAGTAAGATAGCCCACATCTGTAATAATACCCCGGTGTTACAGATGACTAGCTGGAGAAGAGGGACAGCCTTGCAGATAGAAGCACAGAGTCAAGGCACGTCCCAGCCCAGCCTCGGATCAGGTGTGCAGGATGGCACAGTCAGGTGGCTCGAGCACCTGAGTTCCCAGAGTCCCTGAGCCTTTGAACTCAGGCTGGGTACAGTCTGAATTCCCGGACTGCCAACTGTGCTTCCAACCCTCCTCCCCATCCCCTCAGAAATACAGAGCTATACACTTGGCCTCCTTGAAGTGTGAGATGGGCCACAACAGCTCTACCAGACTGGCCACCATGAGGCGTCGGTTACACCCAGGTCTTCCCATGCCATCAGCCCTCACTTTATCCTAGCCAGCTTCCTGCTCTGCTATGACAGAAAATGTCTGATGGGCTTCCTCTCAGTTCCAAACCCAGTGTCTGGTCTGTGACCCTACAGGTCTTGTAAGCACAAAATACATTTGTCCAAATCTGGCTTGTTCCGCAGATACCACCTACAGTGCTAGGAACAACCTGTTATTCATGGTTTACCTTATCTTTGGCTGCTCTGCAAAGCTCTTGAGCCTTGCCCAGCTGGCTGTGGAACATAGATATCTGGCACTTCAGCCAACTTAGGTGTTCCCAAGGATAGGTGAGCAGCCCCCTCTGGCAGAAACTGCTGGTCCCCAAACTCAAAAGTGAATGCATGCAGTAGTATTTTGCACTGTTTCGAATGCAACAGTAACGTTGGGTTCAGTAAATAAATCCCAGGCTCCCCATAAACGCAGAGTGTGGCAGAGGCCCCATCAATCCCACCATCGCATGCATTAGAATCTGGGATGCACCAGCAAGGAGCTTTTATTGTTTATCACACTGACCTCATAGGGTTCACTGGTTCCTCTAGAGTGGAGTGGGCACAGCTGGCTGTACAGCAGAGCAGGTCCCAGCCCCACTTCCTAGGCAGAAGGCAGGGAGTACTTTAACTGAACTATAGGAATACCCAGTAACCGCCAGAACACACTCATGAAGTACTGGCCTGTCCTCCAGAAGCCCATGTTCAGGTAGAGGGTCACAGCTCCTTGCTGCATGGCACTGGTCTCAAGGGACGACATCGCTGTAGCCCTGGTCCCGTGCAAACTGGAGGACAGTTCTGACCAGCGCTTTCGCTATCCCCTGTCCTCGATGCTGTGAGGACACAGACAGGCGAAAGAGCTCCAGCTGCTTCCTCCCTGGTGGGGCATCCTTGACTGGCAGACCTGCCACCATGCCCACCACCTGGTCCCCAGACTCAGCCACCCAGAACCCTGAGCCTCTCACTCAGGTAGGACTTGCTGATGTCAGCCATGTCTGTGTGCAAACACTTGGCCACATACGCCTTCCAGGGCTGTCTGGCAAGGAGCCACAAGAGTAGGAGCAGAAAGAAGATGTATATAATAGCTAGCAGCCAGGAGTCAGACACCAGGACCACGGCAAGCGGCCCCCCAAGTAAGAGCAGGAGCGTTTGGGGCAGTTTCAGTGCGTGGCGGAAGGTGGCGGGGATGTGCTCCTCCATGCCCCTGATGAACAGGTCCAGTACCCTATTGTGGTCTCTGTCCTGGTACTGGCGGATGTGATAAGGAGCCATGGGAGAATGCTGGGTCTCAGATCTCGGCATCCACGAGAGACAGCTCTATCTGCCTGCACAGCTTCCCTGAGCCCTGCAGAAGAGAAGCCGTGTGAGTCCTCTGCAGTTCCTCCTCCCAACACCCACAGGCTGTTCTAGGGTGTGTTTTTCTGTATCCACAGGGAAGACATTGTATCAGCAGCCTGCCTCCTCCTCTTTCTAGCCCCTAGCCATGGTGTCCTGGGCCTGTCCCCTCTCTCTGAGCAGGTATCTTCACTTGTAGATCAGGAAGAAAGATGTCTGGTTTCCATTCTATGACTGTATCCAGCACCCACATGAACAGTTCCTTCTCTGTTCTTCCCCGGTTCAAGCTCTTTGGTCTTCAGTACTGAGATGGCACTTTTGTGCAGGGAGACGTGATGTCCCGAGATCTCTGTTTCCTATTCAGGGTCGCTACATCACAGTGCTGCCTTCCCAACCCAAGTTTCAGCAAAGCCTCTTCCTCCCTCTACTAGAAAGGCACTGGGTTAAACCCCAAACACCCCACCTTTAAATACTGTGATACTGGCTCCAACCTTGCCTCTCTTTTCTCTCACCTGGTATCACAGTCAGGAGGGTCTGGAATGTCCTCATCTCTGAGTAGCATTAAGCAGACACTGCCATCTGCCCTCCCTGGGGGCAGGAGACCTAGGGACGCCAATTCATTGGTGCCTCCAGAATAAGTGTAAATCAAAGGCCAAGAACTGGAATGTGACCTTGGAGGTGGCACACATCCATTTTCCTTGTGACCCCTATGGAATGCACCCAGATGAGCACATCAGGCAGGACACATCGGGCCCTATCCTTGTGAAGCATGCCATCTGCTTCCTGTTTCCTTCACTTCTTAGTGTTTGTCTCCAATTTCCAGCCTGGTTGCCTAAATGCACCTGTTAAAGACAGTGGTTCTCAACCTGTGGGTGGGGACCCAGGGCTATTACTGAATGACCCTTTCACAGGGGTCTCCTAACACCATAGGAAATATCAGATGTTCACATTGTAATTTGTAAGGGTAGCAAATTACAGTTATGAAGTATCAGTGAAAATAATTTTATAGTCCACAACTCGAGGAAATGTATTAAAGGCTTATAGCATTAGGAAATTTGAGAACCACTGAGCTAGGAGGAACCTGGGGTCTGTACGTCCTGGCTCAGTAAGGGCCTCCATCCCTGCCTTGCCTGTACCTGCTCCTACTCAGGAGGATCTGTGGTCCACACTGACATCCCCACTCCTCATCCACCGTGTGGAGGACACAACTGTGGTCTGTGAGTCCTGGTCAGTCCCAGCAGATCCCAGCAGGGCCGTTGCTGGAGCTCTGGACTGTGCTCACATCCAAGGATCTTCTCCAACCAGCCAGCAGCAACTGCCTCACCATACAAGCAAGAGTGGCCAAACCTGCTCCCTTCTCCACATAAACATGAGAATATTTCTTAACAAAGTATGAGAATATTTTGGTCAGGAAAAAGAGAAAGGGAATATTTTATTTGAATCATTTATTTTTTAAGACAGGGTCTCTCTACATAGAAACATAGCTGTTCTGGAACTCATGACATAGACCAGGGTGGCCCAAACTCACAGAGATCCACCTGCCTCTGCTTCCCCAGTGCTGAAATTGAAGGTGTGAGCCACCGGCCAATGAAAGGGGACTTTCTAGATAATGAAGGATTTTTTTGTATGGTAAAATAGGAATTTTCCCTGGATAAAATGCCTGGGTTTTTCCAAAGTGAAAAAGAAAGAAAAAGAAAAAAATAGGAGAGCAAAGCCAGGAAGCTGAATGAGAGTCAAAGGGTCAAAGTGAAATGAACATCATCTTCAGGTCCTGTGGTCCTGGGCTGCTCTTGGGAGTCCTTAGGTCGAGATTAAGTACATCCACACAGCCTAAAATGCAGTGCTCTGTTTAAAACGGTGAGTTCTTGTAAGATATTAATCTGCTCTCAGCATTTACAAAAATGCCTTGAAAAAAATTAAGGCAATTACTCACACTTCTTGTTTCTCAGAATTTATCTCCTTAGGAAACCCAACCTTGAGTCAATGTCCATCAACTCTAATTTGTTTATGTTGACATCAGACTCAGAATCGTGCCACACTGGGCATGGTGTTGGTGTTCCTTTGCAACGCCCAGCACTTGAAAAAAAGAAGGCTTACATTGGGAAGACACTGTCCTCATGGGACCTGGACACAAAACTAACAGTAAGAACAGAATCACCTGTGACAGGCTTTCTAAAAGTAACGCCAAGAAGTTACAGAGAAATGGCCCTTATGCTTGGTTACCTGAGACTGTTTTCCAACTCTGGCTCATACTTTTACTATTTATATTTGTTTCAGACAAAGGCATGTTTCAGAAATTCTGGCTCCAAGTCATAGCTGCTCCTGCTACATGGGGTGTGTTCTGGAGAATTCTCTTGCAAGTAAGAAGCCACTCTGACAACCAGGTACATGGTGTCAAGATGTCATCTTTCATATGGTAGAGTTACGACCAGTAATGAAGAAAGACTGTGGACACACGGGGACACTTTCATACTCTGGATTAGGAAGAAACACTTGTACTCCGTACTGTAGAAAGGAACCAAAATGTTCACATTAGCAGCTTAGCATGCACACACTCTCACTTGAGTTTTAGTTAAGCTCCTAGCCCAGTCACCTCTGAAGGAAATTAAGGTTCAGATCAGTAGACTCTGAGTTTCTAGAAATGCCTCAGTCCAAACATCCGCAGATGAGGAGAGAATACGAAAGGTAATGAAACAAACAAGGCCATCACCGGTCAGAAATGTAGCTAACCACCTGGCCAGGGATGCAAAATGCAGCTCTGGGGTCACTGGCTGTGTCTGCCGCCAGCTCCATCACCCTCTCCCTCCCTCCCTCCCTCCCTCTCTCTCTCTCTCCCTATACAATCTGCTGGCTGGATGACACGGAACACATGCCTCTAAGACAACGCAATCTGCTTTCTTCTTGGCCTCCTGGCTCTCTGCATAAACCCTAATTTTAAGATTCAACTCGGTTCTGTTTCTTGGGTTCTCTGGCAGGTGTCACTCGGTGGCCGCCCTCCCCCAACAGTGACGCCTGCCTGCCCTGGCCTTGCACAGCTGACTGGCTGCCGGCCCGAGGCAGACGGCTTCTTCGGGGGCCTGGAGCCCGGCGTCCGTCCCGAGAAGCCTCACTGCGCTCCTGCGCGCTCACGACTCTCCACGCCATACCTCAAGTGCAGGCCGCCGACCGGGCGCGGAGCAGAGCCCGCCCTCCGCAGTGCGCAGCGCCCGCCTGCAGCCAGCTGCGAGCAGGAGCGCGAGAGCGCCCACCACGATCCGGAAATGGGGAGCGTCGGAACGATCGGGCACTTCCGGGAGCGTGGGCGTCGTTTCCGAGACGGACCGGAGGCTGACGGTGGGTTCCGCGCGGTGCCGGTCGTGAGGGCGATGCGCGCGTCTCCCGCCGCCCCGGGTGCGGAGCGCGGCGGCCCCGGGAGGGCGGGAGGGAGGAGGGCGGCTCGGGCCGCGGGGCGCGCGCTCCGGAGCGCCCCCTGCAGGCGGTGCCCGAGGCTGGCGCAGGAGGAGGAGTCAGGCAGGGGCAGGGCGCGTGCGGCCCGGGACATCTGACTTCCTCCCGGGCGGCCCGGAGACGCTGTCATCGCAGGCCGGCGGGCAGGGCGGCGATGGGGACGCCCTGGCGAGTGAGTCAGGGTGGTGAAACAGTGAGAGGTATCTATGTGCCTCACACCACTTTCTGTTGCTAAAACCACAACACAACACCCCTGACGGGGTGTGTGTGTGTGTGTGTGTGTGTGTGTGTGTGTGTGTGTGTGTGTGTGTGTGTGTGTGTTGATTAGGGCTTTTGGTCTGAGATTCTGGAACCAAAATAGCAAGAGACAAGTTGCAAGATTAAAACAGTCTCACTTGGCAGGATAACAGGTAATTTGATAATTGTTTTTATGGAATTAGTGCATTTGTGAGGCCATTTATAAAGGCCCCACATTTAAAATATCTCATGTTGATAAACTTCACCATGAATATCACATTGAGAAATGGGAGCTGTATAATTGTTGTAAGGTTTCTTCAGTGAGTTACACTAAACAGGAGACTAGCTTGAGGCATTCCAAGGGTTCTTTTCCCTGTTGTAAAAGAACACAAAACAAAGCCACCAACAACACCACCAAAAGAACATGTTTCCCACCCCTATTGGAACATTCTTCGATTTTTGTTTGTTCACTGTACAATGACCACAAAATAAGTGTGCAGTAATAATCTCAGCGCAGAAGATAGCTGTGCTGTGGAGACTCCGTCCTTTGTTGATGGTAGCCTTCTGTACCCTCTTATTTGACATTAACGTGACTGAAGATTGGATGTGTATCAAGAAACTAGCCCCTCTTCCCCTTTGTTAACCTTAGACACTCGTAACAAATCAGAAATGAACTTTAACATGTTGGTATTTGTTGTTTTCACTGTTTGTTATCTTTGTGTGCAGGTTTTAAAACACTAGTTAGTGTTGTGTGTCTCTAACCCAGGCCCACGGGAAGAAGCAAGAGTCTGTGCGTTCCAGGACAGTCAAGAAACCCAAATAATTACAGGAACAACAAAATAGTTGACACTTTTGGGGTCACCTTTCAGCAACTAAGAACTTTCCTTTTTGCTTAATAAATCCTTCATTTTGCGCAAATAAAACAAATAAAATCCCCAGTTTGGCTGGGTTTCCTGTGTTTTGCATTCGGGTGATTTGTCTTTGCTGTTTACACTGCTGTCAGCATTATGGCTGTTTTTTCGGGGTGGGGTGGGAAGGCAGTACTTTCTGCTGACCTCATCCCTAGCTGAGTGGTGCTGACCCTTCTCACTTCTGCCCTAAATGCAATGGTGCAAATTCCACTCTCTGGACCATGACATGATGGACAGGCCACACGAACCTTAGGCACAGTGCTAGAGCTGATGTCTCCTTAGTCTGTACTGAACAAGGCTCGCCTTGCAAATAATAAACCTAATAGCCCGCAGTGCTTTAGACAAACAAGACCTTTGAGCAATTAGGGAGCAAAGTTCTTGTGAATAACTCAGCAATGGAACAAGGTTCCTCTTGGAAACCTGGACAGACTTAGTTTCCAAGACACCTTGCTGGCCAAGG